TCTCTCTCTCTCTCTCTCTCACACATACATATACAAACACACTTGTCTTGTTCTAACTGTGGGGTCGTTTCCTAGCCTCTAACCCTAAACTAACATTACACTAACATTACAACTGAATGACAATGTCATTCCAATGGATCGATTAACACTTATCTTAAATATATTTCTCTTATCATGAATTTTATGTTGCCATTTATCATTACTCTTATTGATCATTATTTATTATAAACTGTCAAATTAACATCCTTCATTTTTTAAATTTAACTGCAAGATAAGACGATTTGAAGGTCAGGAGAATGTTTAAGAACTAAAATCCTGCTTCTCTGCCTGTGTCTTCTAAACCATCCCCAAATTAATTCTTTTAGCAACTTATTTATTTTTTCTTGGTGGTGGGATTTTTACAAATCAATTGTTGTTGTGATAAGTTGTAAAGTTTTTTTAACACTAATGATCCCCCTTTAGTTTTCAAACCACAAGACCCCCCTCCCCCTGTCCACACACACACACACACACGCACGCACACATACGTCCATACAGGCACACCGTCTTGTTTCAGATCTGACCTCAGGCCCATGTTTGGAGAGGACTAGCCATTCACAAGCTCAGTATGTCTGTGGTGCCAGAAGCACTGCACAAAGCATTTGTATGATGGGGAGGGGGCATCGTACCCCAAATGAATGGTTATAAGTGTAATCGTGGTTCTGTGAATTGTGAATAATTGCCAGAGGAAATTGTGTGTAAAGATAAATATCTACAATTATTAAGTGTTAAAGGCCACACATTAAGATTAAAGAGGCGTGCACACCCTGGAAATATTTCCTTTTCAATCTCCAAACCAAGACACTGGATGGTGGGTCTATTGGATCAATTAAAAATTTTAGGAGCAAATTTTTTCGTATTCATTACATTCTGAGAAGATACAGTACTTACCACCTTGAGGACTAATATCAAAATCATAATGAACGACTATCACTCACAGAACAGTGTGTGTTGATAAAACAACCACTGCTTAATGAGAACACAAGTTTATACTCAGGTTGTACTAAAGCACAAATGTAACGTATCATATTTCTTTTTCCTGCACAACTATTAAAAAGTCTATTAAGCCATCAGACCAGTAGGTGAAAACACTCTAGGAATTACTCTGAACAATATATTCAGCGATCCATTCAGAAAGCCACTGCTACTAGGACACACCATCTTATTTCAGCAGATACAAATCAACAGCAGGTATAGTTGTCATCTCAACATGAGATCTGTCTACATAAAGCACACTGAAGTCCTCCTGCATCTGTGCTGCAGAGATAAGGGATCATAGAAAGGTAGCATGGAGTAGTGGGGATTTTATTTATCTGCATATTTTGAGAATGTCTTACTTTCATGAACCATCAGCCACTTTGCCTTTTGTGATAGTACTGCAGGAATCATAAAGTTAGACAATTATAAATTCTTGATATAGAGGCTACAATCAAATTCACATTGTTGAAAGATAAATTATATCAGAGGGTGATTCATTTATCGCTCTGGTGGTATCCTTTCATTATCCTAAATTTTAAAAAAGAAACCTGAAAGCCAGATTTTAAATCAGGGTTTGAGAAAGTAATGAGTCACAGAAACAGTTACTTCTGTGTCACCTCGATGTCATTGACAATGCTGATTTTTAGCTTTAAGATTATAAAAGTGGTCATATTTGATGAGCTCTTCTCTTGAAAACGATAAACAAACCTGGGATCCAACAGAATCATTTTCTAACCTAAGGTGTCCACAAACATTTCTGCATTGGTTTATAACGCGAGCATTGAATCAGAGGATAATTACAAGTCAAAACACAAGCTCCACATAAATATAACCCGTTTCACTGATCGCTTGGAGGAAAGGAAACATTTTCTGGTTGCACAAACCTTTTAGTGTGCCTATGTTTTACAGAATCAAGCGACTTTGTTATGAGTTTATCATACCAAAAATCAAGTGCATGTGATGGATATCCTCTGGCTGTCAAAAGAAATGATAAAGAACACAAGGTTGTTGAGGGAAAGGGCAGGTGGTAGGGATGAAAGATGGGTGATGAATATCAGATGAGGATAGAGGAGTGATGGGATTATATGTCACAAAAAACATTGTTAATAGAGAGAGAGGTAGGTTAATAAAGAGATGGAAATGAGTGAGGGGAAATAGAAAAGAACAAATACAAACAGATGGACAGAGACACAGGTCCACTGAGGAATCTAGTGCGTGGTTTGCTACTAGATTTATAGGTGACTCTCTCTGACGTTTGGTGGTAAACCGTCCAGCCTGTAAAAATGAATATAAGAGGGAAGAAGAGAAGAAACAAGAGAGACACTTTGTAAAAGTGCACAGAGACTGCGATGTGAAACCCCCACCATCAAAAGAACCAGCAAAGGATACTAAGGAGTGTGTGCAGGGGATACCAATATTACATCAGGTGATTAATAAAACTGTATCTGATTTAATTCAAACTGATTATGAGCAATATCAGGGGAACCAGAGAGAAAAACATACCATCAGCTAAAGGTACTGTGTATTGTGTATATATTTTTTTGCTGGTCTATTTGCATACTGTGTATTTAATGTGGTCATAGAACAATTTGCAACATCTATCCATAGTAGTACTTCTAGCATAAAACCAAAAAAATACTCTTTTATTTGAGAGATTGAAATGTGATGACACATTTTACTAAAAGAAAAATGTTAATATGAAATAATAAATAATTAAAATAAATCTGCCAGTTACACAAGAAACAGAAAGTTCTGGCACTGGTTTCAAAAGTTTAACGGAAGCACAGATTTGACAAAACAAAATCTCACAAAGCTGCAGAGTTGTTGAACATCTTCAGATCAACTAGCTTGTGATGTATTGAGTTAAACAAAAAAGAATAAAGAAAACAAGTCCCACTTTCCTCAATCCAACAGATGCTAGCCACCCTAAGTAGATCTAATCATTTATATGTCAAACATTTGGCTTTTATGTCAGTGAAAAGTTTACAGTTTATTTAAAATGACGCAGATCTGTTTGTGTCTGTGATCCTTCAAGGTGTAAGTCTTTGGATCCATGTTGTCAATTGATCATCTTGACAACATAAACAATTTTAAGAATTTCCCTTCAACCTTTATGGCTGTGTGGTAGATAGCATGACCCATCCACACGCACAAGCATGCAGATTAATTTATAATGTGTACCTTGGCCAGGGCCTGCTTGAGGGGCCATTCCATCACCATGTAGACCAGCGTAGATGTTGTCTGAGGAGAACGAGCCCTTCAAGGAACAGGGTTGCTGTGTGTGAACCTGCTCTGGGGCAGTATGGGGATGACTGCTGGAGCCGGAGCTGCCGCTGGAGTGGGCAGAGCCATCGGACAGAATTGAACTTTTAGCCGGGGAGCTGGAGGAACTGGCACCGCTCTCACCTGGGAAAAGAAACAAGCATGACTCAGAATGAATCACTCTGTGAATCACACACCTACAGTTTTCTGAGCCTGACGCCATCACTGTGTTTACCACAGTGCAAAAAGAAAAATGCTTGCTTCAGACTGAAACACTAGTCACACAACCACCCCCACCACACACACCTTTCCTCTCAATGGTGGCGTTAAGATTGTTTTTGAGTTGCTGCACCATCGGATTGAGCAGTTTTCCAGCCTTCAGCTTGTGTTTGCTGGCCCTACGCCTGCGGCCACTTGGGGGTGCTGCATGAAGTAAACCGACGTTGGGAGGTAGAGTTTTGCCCAGCTCCTTGTACAGATGCTCAATCTCACCCCTCTGGAATGCCTGCAGCTCAGAGATCTCCTTCATGTGTCTGGTGAGAAAGTTACAGGGGGAGATCAGACATAAATGAGCTTGAAAGGCCACTGAGAGACTGCTTTTCAGTTTCATGGTCTTTTTTCAAGATCCCTCTTGTAATTTACTCTCTGTTAAATCCTTGATTGCAGAGATGATACCTATGTCAAGAGACATTCCCTCCTGATTTTTGTGTTGGATTAGTGATTAAATTTAAAACCTCGACAAACCTCATCGTCATAGCATGTGGGTTCTAGGCAGTCATTAATGTCACTGAAAATATTGAGTGGTCACATGGTGCCAAAAAATACTGGGGATTTGGGTTCATTATGTTATCAATTGATCCTCAAACAATCCTCCTCGCAACTGTGTAATTTAAATCTGTCCATTTCATTCCTCATCATTAGTAAACACCTTGATTTTTTATTTTATTATAAACCATTAATTTTGGATTTCTCTGCCCCTAGCACAGAAAAACTCTGCATAAAAAACAAATATTGCATAGTGATGAAGATCAATGAGGAAGTTAAGGCTCAAAATGAAAAAAACTGTGCAGCTTTGGATGAGTGCATGTGTGGAAGTTGCTTTACTTTTCTCTTAGTTTTTGTAGCTCCTTCTTCATATCTGCATCCTCAAACTCTGAGTCGTTGTCACTGCTGATGTAAGAGGAGTGGGCATGTCCTGCTGAAGGCGAGGGCACATGACCATTCATTGCCACAGGCTGTCGGCTTGGTGAATCGGAGCTCTGCTCACTTTTGCTCCGACCAGTGCGCCGTAGGAAGGCCACTGCCCTCTTCATGAGGTCACTACCACTGTGCTCAGACAGGGCATGAGCTGGGGGAGCGGGGTGGGCCGGAGGGAGAGCTATGCTGCTGCTGTCCTCATCTGCTGAGTCAGAGTAGAGGTGGTGGTGGTAGTTGTTATGCATAGGACTGTCAATGGTCTGGGCCCGGGGAATATGGTGCGGGGTGACATCAGGACTGGAGGTGGCTCTGTAGAGGTTTGGTGGGGCAGAGTAGCGGTTACTACCGTGGGTTTTGGATGTTCCTGCTTTCTCCTCATCGGCTGCAGCTGCCACAGACGATCTGCCAGCAGCCACACAAACCTTCTCTGTCCTGCCTTTTACATTGGTCTGACTGTGAGACCCTCCAGAACCACTTGAGGGTGCTGTAGAACTGCAGGTGCTGCAGCTTGTCTTACTTTTCTCTAAACGACAAACAACATCTGGACAAGTGGGGATGATCTGGAAAGAAGAGCATCTCACATTCATAACAAAATCAAGGTCCATTTACATCATAAACGAGTACACTTGACAAGCAAAGGCCTGGAATATAATCTTATTTGGTCAAATATAATTTTTGTTGAGTGGAAGAAGAAATTGGGTTCTTACTTGAAAACGGCTTTTGGATCTGTATGAAGTGGAGCTGACAGTTGCATCTCTTCCTTTCAAAACCCTGTTAGCTAAAGGAGCAGAAAGGAGAATTTCTTGTAAAAACAATTTAAAAAGAGAACTGATTAATGTGATATAGACATTACATAAATCATTTTACCTACCTGCCACTGCAGAGTCACTTAGTGCACCCACACTATCTGTGCGCTCCAGAATCTGAGGCTAAGAGAGAAAGAGAGAAGGATGTGTGTGGGAGCTTGGAATAATGTGAATAATTGCAAACAGAAAGTCACTACATGTGCTAGATCAGCATGATGAGGCTATGCAGTAACTTCTCCTGACATCAGTTTTGTCTTAGTGAGTCTAACCTTGGTTTAAAATGAAGCTGCCAGAGGAAGAGATCATGAAACATTATTGTACTCACAGCAGTAATTTTCAGTACATACACAATAATAGTCTTAGCCAGTAGTCAAATCAATAACAGTGCAGGTAAACAATTCAATGATGATTCCATTAACTTAGCTCCTAACAAACATCTGCACACATTTTTAACTTTCAAACATAAACTCACTCTCTCTCTTACATACACAAAACACAAAGTGTATTTTACCAGTGGGTCCCCCTTCTTCTTTGCAAGTCCTCCCTCAGTGCTCTGGCCATCCGAGACTGGCGGGGTGATGACTCCTTCTGTGCTGGAGGCCTGGGGGTCAGATGTCGTACTTGAAGGCTGGGAGGGAGCATGCTCCTGGTACAACAGGTTTCTCAGCTTCTCATCCAGAGTCTTGATGGTGCGGTCAACAAACTCCACCCTGCGTGGTCCCTCACTGTCTGACTCGCCTGGCCCCCCACTTGCTGGCTGCTGCTGGCTTGATGACTGGGAGTTCTGGGAGGTCTGATGTGCTGGACTCTGGGGCTGGGAGGTTACTGTCCCAGGCTGCATGGGCGTGGCATAGGGTTGCTGCAGGACCACAGACTGATGGGAGGTGAGCTGAGGAGGTAGCTCTCCAGACGGACTGGCCTTCTCAGTGGGCTGATTAGTCTGAGAAGAAGCCAAACCTCCAGCTGCTCCTTTATCAGTGGCATTCACATCCAAAGAGACAGGTGGCACAATAGCACAGCATGGCATGTCCGTCACCAAAGAGACAGCAGAGATGCAAGGTTCTACTGCAGGAAGGGAGTTTTGATGTCTGACACCAGCAGCAGCAATGGGATGTTTATTTACACAGGGCTGAGTCTGCTGGACCCGAGCTTTGCCAATGTTTTGGTCTGGAGTTTGTTCTGAGCTCTGAGCAGCAGGGGGCAGAGAGGGGGAGGAGGAGGGCGGGTTTTGAGCAGATAAAGATGCGACCGGGGTAGTCACTGCAGTTGTGTTGCACTTGGGCCTGACTGATGATGAAGCAGAGTTTTCAGCCTCTGAAGAAAGAAAAAGAGGAGAGTTAATTAGAGGGAAACAGATTGGGAGTTAAACAGCCAAGACTGTGAAGAAGAGGGTCTAAGTCCTGTGAGTGCCAGAGTGTTATATCACGGCTTGTCTTCCCCCATCAGGATCTGTCAGCTGGAGTATAAATCCTGCCCTTCTACCACTGCAGAAGCACTCTTATATAACTGACCCCACCGGTATAACTGCACTGGCGCACACTTGAATGCATGTGCAGCGCTTCAGTATGGAGAGCAGCAAGTGAGACACAAATGACTCAGTTCATTCTATAGGAAATATGATTCTAGCAAAAAAGGCAAACCCTCATATTAAAGAATTTGGTCTGATAAGCAGTAAATAATATGTTGCAGACCGTGGGCTGTAGTGACGTGAGATGTAGTCTTCTTATTGTCTGGCATGGGTGTCTCAGCTACAGGGCAGATGATAAACCAGCGCTTCCCAGTATGGAGGACTGTCAAGGAGAGAGAGAATGAAAGTCTCATTATAATTATAAAATCACTCCAGTAGATGAGCTAAATTTACTGACTGACGATTCAAAGAAAACTTACAGAGAATGAAACAATCCAAACTGATTTTCATTCATTCAATCATTCATATTCTAATGTCAAACCATAAAAGCCTTCTTAAATGTAAATATCTATAAATGTACAGGAAACCACTGACTAGAACTGAAACATGTGCATGGATGAATACGAGTTTCTGGGGATCAAAGTCTTACCGTTTTGTTGGTACACCAGCTGTGGGGTGCTGGGCGCTGATGCCTTCAATTCCAAAAGAACAAGAAGGATTACTTTACAGAGTTGATGCATGTGCATTAATTTAATAAACATGTGATGAGTTTACTCAAGTAGCCAGAGAGAGGTGAACTTCAGACATAAATTCAGTTAGAAACAAATTTCACATCAGCAAAAATTGTATTTTTGGCATCTCTTGTTGGCAGCGTTGCAGTCAAAGTCATCTTGAGAGTCTGTAGGGAGTCATCTTGAGAGTCTGTAGGGAGTCATCTTGAGAGTGCTGACAGGATGATGTATCCGAGGAGGAGTCCCTCATAGACAAATTACACCATTACAACTACTAACTATCAGCGCTTCCTTTCTCACCTCTGTTCCTAGTGTGTCAGTTCCTTCGCTCTGTTTGGGACTGCCTCCCTGGTCAGAGTTCCTCTCACCCTCTGTGTCCTCACTCAGCATGTCCTCAGCTTTGTCCACAATGTCCTTCATCTGTTCAATGAATACCTCTTTTTCCATAGGTAAAATGAAATCGTTCTCCACCTGAGAGTAAGGACAGAGAAAAGACAACAGGTAGTAGAAATGTTCTATCTCAACAAGCAATAGCTAAATGAAACCGTGGTCATGGCTGCGCCAGGATCAACAGATGCATGTTTTAGTGACTATAAAGAGTAAAATAAATAAAATGATTGAAATTCCACATATATTCTCTTAATGTAGTTTAATGCCAACATAAAGCAAAACTAGTCTCAAGTTGAATGAAATATTTATAATTCTAACCATTTTCTTATCAAGCTTCACAAGCAGAGATTTGCCTTGGACCAACTATCTTATCCACAACGAGTTAGTGGATATGGAGTTAGCATTTATGTTATAAAATATTCATATGTCTATAAATATGAGCCCAATGTGAACTGGTTGAGGTTGGAGGAGAGAGAAAGAGCAAGACAGAAACATTGAGATTCTTTGCTGCATTGCAGCTGGAAATAGCACCACGCAGACTTCCAGTGTTTCAGAGATAGGAGAAAACTTCCAGGGCAACGCACAACTTACAGACACTACTGACTGAACTGACAGACACTCCTGCATACCATGTATGTGGCAATCTCCTCCGGTGCATCTCCGTCCAGGTCAAACTTGAATGTGACCATCTTATGGTTGTGAGTTTCCAACTGACACTCCACCATCTTATCCCCAGTGTTACACACCTGCAGGAAGAACGGACAAATAAATACATTATCTTTTATTTCTTGCATAGGCTTTAAGTAATATGTTCCTTATTGTGATATATTTATATATATACTCACATTGAGCATGCTGAGTTTTGGCCTGCTTGTTTTCTCTTGACGAGAACGAGTCCTTGTGGACCTGCGATGGTGTTTGCGGACTTTCCCTTCACCTTTGCCTCCATGTGTCCCCTCATAACCGTCACTCATCTCCTTCCCTGACGTGGCGTCAGAGTTGACACTTAATTGGGGAAGAAAAGGCAATGACATTAGTTTAAGTGCTACTTTAATTATTATCTGAATAGCCAACACAAAGCTTTACTATTTTGGGAAGCTATTGCTATAATCTACCTGTATGTTAGAAACTAACAAATAGCAGATATGTGCATATTGTCTTATCAGTGTACCAACAACAGAAGCTGGATAGACAAAGAGAAATACAGTAAATAAGTTGTGTGATGAATAAAACATGTTATCTAAGTGAAATTTTGGACTGGTGGAAAAAAAGGGGGCTTCCCGTCTTGAACTTCTCTCAATACAGAGCTTAAAACAATGACATTAGTGCCATCAGACTTCAGGAGGAAGAGGTAGCTGGTTTAACATCACTTGTAATGTTTGTTGGAACACTCTCAATGTTTTCTGAAGATAAACAATGTCTCTGCCACAGGAAGTTTAAACTACAGCAACAATAGTGTGGCAAACCAGTGTCAGGCTCCGCGAGAACATGTCTGTTTACAAGTGTTACAGAGTATTGGTGTGGCTACTGTAACAGTGTAAACAAAAACTTCCACATTTTCAAATAAGTAAGACCACATGTATTATTGAAAGAATGTAGGTCAGTGCCTCGAACAAAATTTCCATCGAGAGATTAATGTCCATTTGACATATTAGATTGCGCTTATCAGATAGGTATTTATTATAAGTGCAATCATTGACTTGTCAACTACAAAAATAAGTACCTGTCATAGCTCTGTCCTGCAGTGTGTTTCTCTGTGGTTTGATCCTGAAACAAAAAAACCAGAGAGAGCAGAAGAGAATAACATGAATTTGTTTTTTTTTTTAAAGGAATTTTACTGATTGTGAAGAAAGAGAAAGTACAGTGATGTTGTATGCGAGTGTACTGGTATTTTTTAAAAGCGATGTGGGCAGAGAAAGAAATAAGTTGTGAAATAAGTGAGTCATGTCTCCATACCTCCGTGTTGGTCTCTGCTGCTCCTGTTAGAGAACCGAGAGGTTTCTGCTGAGTCACACTGGAGCTGGCAGACCCAGATGATGCTTGCTGAGAGTCTGAGGGCTGCAGCACAGGAATTTGGCTCTGAACCTGACTCTGGGCCTGCAAGGCCAGCTGGAATGAGTTGCTGTTGTCCAGATTGGCAACAGTGGTGGCTGCGCCTGGATCAGTCCCATTATAGAGAGGTGGGGAGAAAAGTGCAGGCTGCACTGGCTGAGCAGAGGGGACAAGCTCAGGATGGCTGACCTGGGCCTGCTGGGGACAAACAAGATTACACATCGCCATCATCATTATTACAAGTATTACATCTAAGATAATGAATCCTTGTTGTTCCTATGTATTCAGCTGTTATGTGTTTATTTATTTATTTTTTTTACAAGATTTCTTCTTTTTTTCCTGCACCATTTAACCTAATCGACATATAAAGGCTTATTATCCTTCAGCTACAGAACAACAACACAGCTATGAGCAAACAAAGCTCTAAAACAATGTGACAAAGATTAGTCAAAGGCTCACTTAAGTAAAACCACCCTTAACACACATGAACACTCAAAACTCCAGTTCACACCTTCTTGGTAAACATCAGCACTCCATAGCACCCATTATAATTACCTGTATCAGAGGCTGAGTGCTGCCATTTGTGGGAAGGTGTGTGTTTTGGGAAGGGGAAATGTGCATGTGTATGGGATGGGTGTTTAATGTAGATATAAGTGCAGGTTGTGAATGAGGAGCTTCATATCTAACACTCTGCTTCAGAGCAGTGTTGGGCTGGTGCTGTAGGGATGTGGGTTCCATCTTACCCAGCCCAGTTGAGGGGGAAGGTATGAGGGACACTGGGATGGGTGAGACTAATGAATTTTCAATGTGTAAAGGGGAGAGAGGGGAGACAGAGGGGGTCATTGGAAGAGTCTGTCTGGGAGAAAGAAAGATGTGATTCAGAGAAGAGGTGGTTGAAGGGTGAGGAGCAGTGTAGGGGTAAGGATAGGAGGATTCACAGTCAGTCAAAGCTGTCATCACCTGGACAGTGGGATACTGTGAAGGAAACTGAAGGGAAAAGAATAAGGAAGAAACAGAGGGAAATCAAATACTCTAAAGAATAATGTTCAAACAAATATAGGAGGAGGACACAAGATACATTTCTTCAAGTCAATGCTGTTACTGATCTTTAATACAATGTAAGAAATGACTGAGTATAAACAAACAATACCTGGGGTTGGTGTGTTGGTGGTAGAGAAGTTGATATCTGCAAAGGTTGGAACTGTTGATGGACAGTAGCCTGAGCCATTGGCTGCTGAGGGGGAAGTGCCTGGGTCAGCATACTGGAAGGGAACTGGCCCTGTCCGTCTTGTCCAAGCTGGGATATGCTCTGTCCAGCAGGTATATTCTACAGATGAAAAGGAAGAGAAAAAGAGAGAGAAGTGGTTCAGTTATGACAAGGATTCCAATTTGACCTCTCTGTTTGGAAACCTGCATTTCCTCCTATTGATTCCAGAATAATTCATACTTTCCTTTCTCTAAGCAAAGTAAGACTAGGAAGGCTGGCGGATACAGCAGCTAAAACCACTGTTATTGTTTTCATTACTGCTTACATTATCTCTCTGTTGGCTCCTGTCCGAGGAAACTCCTGTTTATTGAGCTGTTCCCCATTCAACTACTGTCCACCAACACAGCTGCTTCCAATTTGGCTGCACCAAATCAAACCCAGGGACCATAATATAAGTAGGAGCAAAACTAATAACAGCACTGCCACAAATGTTCCCTTGTTGAGGTGCAGCACTTTCTGTCCCTCCCACAGTGAGTCCCAGAGTGACAAAATGCATTGAGACAAAGGCATTCTACCTGATTCAGGAAAGCAGCGATGCAAAGATAGGGTTGAAACTGATGAAAAATGAAAACAGGGCGAGTCAGAGGAGGAGAAACAAACATAAAATTCAAAACTGGGGCACAGTGAATGCCGCTAAGCTTTAATGCACCGCTTCTACTCTCACCTGTTGAGAAATATGTGCAGCCTGGCCATGCTGGGATGAGGCAGGAAGGCTCTGAGGAGTCACGATCTGAGTAGCCCCTCCATAGGTCTGTGATGCAGCAGTGGGCTGTGCAGATTGGTACTGGCTCTGAGCTGGAGCAGACTGTTGGTGCAGAACATTGAGAGCAGAGTGTGCAAAGCTCTGAGAGGCAGCATCAGGTGGACCTGCAGCAGGGTAACTCTGATGTGAGGCCGAAACCTGCACAGCTGAGGTTGAAGTGAGATGAGGCTGAGAGGCTGGGGTCTGAACCTGTTGGACAGTAGACTGGGACACCTCCTGGCTTTGATGTGGAATTGCTGTGTGCATGGCTTTCTGCTGTAGAGCTGGGGTGTGCAATTGCTGCTGACTGGGACAGTGAAAACCACTAGGTGGTTGTGCAATTTGTTGGTGTAGGGGATGCACAGTATCTTGGTGAAGCTGGAGCTGAGGTTGAATATAAGCCTGTCCACCATTCTGTGTTTGTATGCTAGACTGAGTGTTTTGTGGTAAGGGCTGTTTGTGCTCTTGCTGAACAGGGATCTGTTGGTTGTAAAGTGCTGGTGTGGAGGAGCTCTGACAAGGTTGCTGACTTGGCAGTTTGACTGCAGCTTGGACATGCTGCAGTGTGCTGGGAGCTTGAGCAGGATGACACTGGGCTGCAATAGCTGCACCTACAGATGCAAGAGGCTGATGTGCTGGCAGGGCGGCTGCTGCGGCTGCTGATGCTGTAGTCTGTTGCTGAACCGGAGGTGGATATCCTGGTGTAGACTGAGCCTGTTGTTGAGAGGGAGCCACACAGTTCTGACATGTTTGTTGGACTTGCAAAGAAAAAGCTGCTGTTGCCGCTGGCTGTTGGTAGCCTGCTGCTTGGTGACTCTGTGGCACAGATGACGCTGAAATACGTGCTGCAGCTTGGGTCTGTTGCACACTTGGAGGTGGATAGCCAGCAGCGTTGCCTGCATGCTGGATGTTGACTGAACATTGACCGGCTGGAGCTGGTGTAGCAGCACTAGGTGGACCAGCATATGGAGCAGCAGGGTAACTGTGTCCAGGCTGGAGGTACTGCAGTGGTGTGGTCATTGCTGTGCTGGAAGAAGGCAGGCCTTGGACAGAATGTTGATTCTGTTGCCCTGCAGAACTAGGCTAAGAAAAACAAAGGGGAGAAATTAAAGTTAGTTAAATGAATGCAAGTATAACGAGAGGATAAGGGATAAAAATAGGTTAATGAAACATCTGTTACAACAATGAGCAGGCTGTGACAGGTGTGAGATAAAATAAGGACCCAAGGGAGGAAAAGCAGACTGATAGGAGGGAGATCAGACAGTAACCGCTTCTTCAATCAGAGGCCATCTATTCAAGGCAAGCTAAGGAAAAAGATAGCTGTAGCATTCAGCCAGTAAAGCAGAAAGGGAAAAATATAAAAATCTAGAAAGGGGTCTGTTAGGGTAAATCAGCAGAAACGATGCCTGTTAGAGATTATGCCACGGTCCTCCGACATGATCAAGCTTATGATTTTTAAGATGGTCAGCTCTTTAGGCCTAGGCAGGCAGCGAAACTCAGACAGTGGACAGAAGATCAGACCAGCTCCATGCAGAATGGTCCTTCTTGCAGGGAGAAATCAGTTAAGCAGGTGTTGGCTCCGTATGGGATACCAAAGTGGCTTGTCTGCTACTATGACCTACCACTCCAACAGCCCCGGTAACTTGCTGCTCTCTGGCACTTAATCTGTCCCTGCCGTCCTGGAGGGGTTCTTGATCCGCAACTGAACTGCCACTCAGGAGATGACTCTTCAGGCTGCTGCCTCCATCACTGTGAGCAGGCCTGTGTGCAGCTGAGGGATGCAGAAATGCGGCCTGGGAGGGTGTGGCGTGACAGGGGGTTGCTTTGCGGCTGATTATATTGAACAGGGACTTCTGCAGCAGTGAGAAATCTGAGCAATCGCTGGAACCTTTTGGCCGACCATAACCAGGGGTGGTCATGGCTCCACCAAAGGATGGGTGGTGCCTTAAGTCACATGGACAGTGGTGTGCTGGCATGACAAAGGAAGGGTGGCGGGGGCTCCCTTCTCGTGACTTCAAAAGAAGCAAAGCAAGGCAGGCCTGGCACATGTGGGTTTTATGCATGGCAAAATGGTGGTTATGATGACAAGTTACACTCAGAAGGCTGCTGAGGTCAGAATGTCTGCGTCCACTTGGCACAGGTAGTGTTGAGATTTCACTTGCCTCTGATGTCGTTCTGATACCGGTATCACTCAGGCGGCGGTATTCAGAGAGTGATGACATAGGAGAGACCTGCAGCATAGACAGAACTCCCTGGGTGGGAAATCCATCCCCAGCCTCTGAGTGAAGCTCAGAGGGGCAGAGTTCAGACTGGTTCTCTGGTAATGTGAAGCTGGGTCTGGGACTAATCGATCTCGGCGATTGACTGAAGGCATGCATTTGAGCAATGTGGTTTGCCCTGTGTGTGTCAATAACAGGAGCACTTCCTCTCCGGGTTGCTGCTCCCAATCGAGTCCTGAGCTCTGGACTCAGTGCCCCCCCCCATATTTCACCCTTTTCACAGGAGTGAGGCCGATCTGTGAGAAAAGGGCTACTGCTCTGGAACTAATTGAGGAGCAACCCAAAAGCAAAACATATGTTACTCAAAATGAACAGATTATTACCAAAAGAAAATAGTTTTAATGATAAGATGAGGACAAAAAAACTTGCTTTCAATGATACATGAATGCATGAGTGTAATGAAAGTGTGATTTCAAAAAATAAATGCATGTGTGTGAATGTAGCACGTTCGGTATCAAGGCCAAGTGATCAGTCACTGCTTTGAAAAAACTGTGTATATTTAACTATATCTGATCATACATTGTCCACCTGGGTGTGTGCTCCTGATACAGACCTGCTGCGTTGCCATAGTAATAGGCTCCAGTAGGGACTGGTAGAGGACACTCTGCTGGCTGCTGTGGGAGTCTGAGTACACTGTGGAGCCCATGCCACTGTCGAGCGTGCTGTCTGCTGCAGAGACACGCAAATCATGCACTCATAAAAAAGTCAAAGATTTAATTTGTGTTTTAAGTGGAGGAGAGCAGAAACTCTTACATGTGACTGAGGTGGCACTGGCTGGTTGGTTACACAGCCTGTTGTGTTGGTCTGCATCAGGCTCTTCTGGTTCCAGCATAGGGGGCTGTCCTACGTGTGCAGCCCCAGCACAGATGCCCTGAGATGGAGTCATCTGGACCCTCTGTCCTCCTTCACTCTGATCCACTGCAACTGCAGCAGATACCGTTCTCTCTCTTCTCCATTTGATCAGTGCCACGCGATCCCTGATCGACTTTCCCACAGTCTTAGCATCACTCTCGTGGAAGAAGCCAGACTCCACCTGACAAAGAAAAAGTAAAGAGCATGACTTCCAGGGTATTTTTAGCACTGAGCACGTGAGAGAAAAGAGGGCGCATTAAAAATGGGAGCGTGTAAGGGAGAAGGAGCAAAAAAATGACAAGGGGATCAAAATAATGTGGAACCATTCCCTCTGTCAGCAGTTAGTTCATTGTTTAGTACTGATACATCTGCAAATCAAAAAGCATTGATTTGAAAACTACATCTTGAACTAACTACATCATTAGCAAAAAAGCAATAATGAATGACCAGGAGATCCCCCTGTGACATAGAAGAATGCCGGCCATACAACATCTCATTGTGCTGTTGATCCATATGTCTGCTCTCATCCCCACGGATCTTGTTATAGAGAGGCCTTAATGGGTTATTTCTGGCTTTACAGCCTGGTCGGCACAACACAGACAAATTGAAGGAAAGATCAGACATCACAGAAGGGACGACATATGTGGGAGAGGGAAAGAACTAAAAGGAAGATATTGGTTAACAAAAGAAATGTAAAAAGAGAAAACCAGGAAAGCATGTTTGGCACAGACTGGATCAGTTGTTTGAGGAATAAACAACATGCTGTGAGAAAAAAGACACCAAAGCAACATTTGGGCAGACCTCTGACTAAAGTTCTGTCTTTCACCTATTTACTTACACATGATGTGTAAGCACCCCCTAAAAATCTAAAATTTCAGATTTTGTAAATAATATAAATTGTTGAGTTTCATCTAAAGAAACAAACCTGATCATTAGCACTGCTAACAGCTACAGAACTTTAAGGCACAAAGACATGCAAACCTTACATCCTGTAAATATTAATTGTTAAAAGGCAACGGCAAAATTCTTGGAGCAGAATCAGCTATGTCTAGATGACAGTCAAATGTTTTAGGCAATGTAAAACAAAGACAAGTAAGGGAATTTCAAATTCTAATTTATTATGTATGAAAAATGATTCACTTACCATTTCTTGTGCCACAACCTCAGGGACCTCCTTTTCCAAATCAAACGTGAACTCGATGGCTCCACTCTCCTTGTACTTCCCTTTTAACTTCTTGTGGTCCTCCACCCACAATTTGAGGGCTATTGAGGCCTTTTTCCCATCGTCCTCCTCGGCCAGCTCTACCCTCACACCTGTGTCCTCAGCAAAGAAAGCATGGTTCAACAAGTCCTTGATGGTGTACCTGGGTGAAAGAACAGTGAAGCTCAGATTCTGGTACAAACGTGTATTACACACACTGCAGCCACTCATCTGTAATGTTGAGGGGTTGCAGATGGCCTTTGCATCGGTATATTAGCAGTTCACCTTGGTACAAAAATTCAGGGGTGTCAATAGTGAAAGGACATCTTGGACTGGTCAAACACAGTAATTATACATACATTGTCACTGCCAGGACAAAGTCCCTCACTGAACCTTTGATAGTCATTCTGTAACAAAATTGTGAGACACCCTGCAGACATTGAGGGACACTGCAGTGCTGCTGAGAGCCAAACTAAGAAATACGCAGCAGGAGCAAAAAAGTCACGGAACTGAGATGGCTTTTTGTGGGCCCATTTAACGACACTGGACAATGATGTGGACATTCTCTCACCGCTCCTCTTTCTTTTGGCAGATACACTCCCCAATAATCTCCTTGATTTCAGGATCCATGACCTTGTTGTAGCTGGCTGGCTTCACTCCCTGAGAAAGAGGAAATGTAAACAAAAGGCTGAGGACATACCTTGAAATGATACTGTTATGGATGACAAATATTGGGGAAAAACAAAGGAAAGAGTGCAGTGTGAGGGGGTTGTTTTTTTGATACTCCTCCCCCGGATAATACATTTTAAGTGAAACACTGTTAAATCTTGTCGACCTTGACATTACCGGGCAGCAGTGGTCAGATTGCCTCCAAGTCATTTGCAATGGAATACAAAAACCATCTTAAGAAATCTCTCAAACTATTCCTGCAGCACTGTCAAACGTCTTTTCATGAGAGCTCAATGCATTTACTAAATCATAGGTGAATGCACAATCTCCATCTCCATTCTCAGACACAGTCTTGCTGAGTTTATAAAGTAGGTGCAGACAGGTAGGAGCACCCATCTCCTACTATTACTTTAGTCAGAAGAAGCAGCTGTCTGGAGTCTGCCCCTGTTCCTGAAGATTGTTTTGTTGTAAACTACAATTAGAACACAGCTGGTGTCAAGTTCTATGGTGTTTTGACTGCTCTGAACATCCTCAGCACATGGATGGATTTTTGGATATTTTTCTATTCCACAGTGAAAGGGTTTGATACTCTAAACATTTTGGTTAGGTTATCACAAAATGGTTGCATTTTATATGACACTTATTTATTTTAGTCCAGCGCTCTTTTCCCCTTTTTATAGGCACATCTTACTGAGTTTTCACATTCTCCCTATACTGTATTATTATTATTAAATCTTTCTGCACCTATGTAATCTATATAATCTATATGCATACTCTAGATTAACATTCCAACCAATTATTCAGCTGCATGCTGTATGTACTCAGGGAATAGTATAAAGCTATCATGCTTTCTCTTTGATCAATCTCCTATTAATATCCTGCAGTGGTCTCTGCAGGGCACTCTGATATGCATATGGTAACAATCCAGAGAACAGTATCTAGGGCAATATGGGCATGGAGGCCTTTGCTTCTTTAACAGCCAGTGAAAGAGTCATCTCTTAGATTCCAATGCTGCCAAGTCTCAAGAGTGAAAAATCAATACCGTTCATCAAATCAGGAAGTCTATCATGATTTTAGACACCCCCTAATCCAAAAACAGTTTGCAGTGCACTTTGCTAGCAGAGGTACACTCATTGAAATGGACTGGAATACAGCCTTTAGGCTTTATCTAAAAAACAAAGGAGATTTGGACTCCCTCTGTGACTCCATATGGCTCATTAGATTCTTCACCCAAGAAATTCAAGGCTGAGGTTCGTAGCTGAAACAAACAGAGCAGAGCTCTCTAAAAGAAAGCTGCGTCTCTTCAATTAAAAACACCCTGGGTGTTCTATGTGGTGAAGCAGGAAAAACATCCTTGTCTTTTCTATGCTCCATTTTACTGGTTCATTTTGCTATTAATATATAAATACTTTTGATGTGCCATTTGAATTATTAATTCATGTGCTTGGTTTTAAATGTAAAGAATGTGTGACAGCTAATGCAAACATGATGCAGGTCCTATCCCATATCCAATTTCCAAAACTATTTGCACATCATCAGGACTCACACTTGTGACTTTGCGGTAAATCTGAGCAGCATTCTGACACTCGGAGTAGGGGTATTCTGAGGTGGCCATCTCAAGCATACACATGCCAAAGGCGTAGACATCCACAGCCTCATCATAATGCTCCTCATACATCTCTGGAGCCATGAACTCAGGAGTACCTAAAAAAAGAGAGAACAGCCAAAGGATATTTATCTTCTTCTTTTACCATTTTACCTGAACGATGAATTACATTTCAAAGTCTCTTACCTATGACACTCTTTGCAAATGAGGCTGCCTTGAGTGTTGCCAGTCCTAAATCCCCTATCTTTACTGAGCCCGTAGGGCCAGTAATAAAGATGTTATCACATTTGAGGTCCCTATGGATGATGGGTGGGGTCCTGGTGTGAAGAAAGTGGAGGCCTTTCAGGATCTGTCTGCACCAGCTCCTCAGCACCTTGGGCTTCATTACCTTAAAACGCTTTAGATAGCTGCAGGAGGGAGAGGTAAAACATGTTACCTGTCATATGAGTTACAAAGTACGTTTAAAACACACAAGACATTTCTCAGTTTACTCTAAGTAACAAATAGTAGAATTTGTGATGTTGTCTTTCTACTTTTTGGTCAGGAGTTGTCTTCACAGCATTTGCCTTGAAAACGTACTCACGTTTTTAGCGTCCCTGACGTCATGAGCTCTGTAACTAGAACAATGCACTTCTTCCCTTTAAGGGGGGACTCCCAGAAGTCATAGAAACGGACAATGTTGGGATGCTGAAGACCCTTCAACATCTCTGCTTCCTCCTTAAAGCGCTGACGCTCCATTTTTGAAAGCTTACGATCCTAGAGGGAAGACGACAGATGCAACAAAAAGAAATAATGAATGTGAAACTCTAGTACTATATTTGCTTCACAAGAAGAGGCTGTATCGTTGCAGGCAATTTCATACACAAATTAAATTCATATATCCAGTCGGAAAGACAGTGAGTGAGTGGATTAATGTTTGCTTCAGTCGTTGAGCCATATGCACATCTCTAATTGGACCATATGTATATCAGAGATGATAAACAGTCAACACTTTGTGTGTGGGGGAAGAATCCAGATCAGTGGCTTTCTCAGATGGTAACAAGACGCAGCTTAAATATCTTGCATGGATCAAACATGGAGGCTGTGAGACACAGAATGGTGACAAACCACAGCTACAATGACTCCACGGGGAGAATGAGCCCACACATTAACATGGTCACACCCACAACACACTGCAGCTAAAGGTTGTATGTCATTGATCTTTTTCATCTTTCTCCTTACTCACCCCCCCCTCCATATCTGCAATCTGTCTCCCTCTCTGCACCCCTAACGCCAACCACTCCCTTCTCCATCACCAAACATCCCACGCATACACATTCAGTAACCGCTCTCTTTCCCTGAATCCCTTCCCTCAGCGATTCTCTGTTCGGCTGCACCCACACTGAGCGTACCTTGCTCTAGGTGGTGCCAGGGGTTTCTTTACTGCAATTTCCCTTTTTTAAGCCATCACAGCAACAAAAATACACAACAGATGCGTACATTCAACATCGAGCATAGACCAAAAGCATCCCCACCCCTTACCGAGGCAGACTACACGGACGGTGGAATGCAACGAATACAACCAAGTGATTTCTAATCTATTTAATTATTCAACCACTAAACTGCCTGTGAGAGGAATTAGTAGAACAAGAGCAAAAAAATTACCTAAAACCTAAAAATTATAAAGACACGCTGTGTGATGCAATGTGCTGAAGAGTGGAGTGATAAGATGATGAAGCATGGCGTGCATGTGTCATATCAGGTTCTGTGTGCAAGTGTGTGGGGGGTGGGGATTTTCACCACACTCTTCTGAAGTCCCATGAATAATTCAGCTCTGCAGAGAACCCTTTTTACTGAGGCAAACTGAGCAATGCAAGGGCTGGGGCCGCCCAAGTTAGGCTATCCCCAAGTGTTCCTTGCTGCGCAGGAGCAACATATGCACTGAAGTCTACCTGAGAAAGTCTGGTCTAAAAAGAGAGACAGCGAGGAATGAGACAGCTAAAAGCTAATTTTAACCCTGAAGCGATGCAGCTTTCTTGCCTTGAGGCTATATTCTCCTCTCATTTTCCATTTTCTTTCTTGTTCCTCCTCCTCCCATCATTTCTTCTCTCATCTCTAAAGAGTCCTGCTCCTAAATAACCCCCAGTTCCCACCTCAGAGTGTGTTCCCCCAAGTCCCAAACACACACATTGCTCACACTATTGCTCTCCCAATTCAGTGTTCCCTCTCAGCAGACATGGGGCTTCTGCATAATTCAGAAGTTGCATTTAGACTCAGAGGTGTTGCACACAGCATGGTGAGATACAGACAGATACACATGTATATTGAGACACTGAAAGAAAGACACTCCCAAGAAGACATGCACACACCAGAAAAAGCATATGACAGAAGCATCAATATACAAGACATGTTAATTGCGTTGTGGTTATGGTACGAAATTTGAGCTGTTAAGAAGCGTGACTTAAAATTACATTATATTTGAAATCAGTGCTGCAAACAGACCATCTAGTGTCGGCGTGCATGTATATTTTCAGTATCTTATTAAGACTCAGCTGGCTACAGAGTGGAGCCGCACAGACGAGGTTATACACACAGGCCAAAAGCCATACTGCGCAGCAGGTACAGAAAAATACATTGTGACATGAGCAGGAAGCAATCTATAAAGCTAAGCGCCACACTGCTGCCACCCACTACATCTGTGTGCTGAACTCTATTAGTTCCCCGGCTCTGGTGGCTCATACATCAGCACAGATACATCAGGATGAGATACTGAAGCAGTGGGCCTCTGGAGGAGACCGGGTTACAGATTAAAACATTAGTCCTGGGAACGTCACTGGCTAATATACCATGTAATTGCAAAACTATGTGTTGAAATCAAGTTTGTGGCCAAATGTCACATGGTGTTTCCAAGAAGAAAGCACCTTCAGTGTGGAGTGATGACTGTGAGTTCAGCTACTTTGACTAAGTATCTACGAGTAGAGACAACAACGCTGCAAGAGTCACAGTTCCGAATTAGAGGGACTGGTTTTACACATGCTGTAAGGCTCAAGCTTTTTCACTTTGAAAATATGAATTAATCAGCAATGGCACAACTACTGCTTTGGTTTGACTTTTGAATTACAGTGTTTGCACTTGTAGATGGTATACATTGGAGTACTAGCATCATAGAAGTTTTCTTAATCAGTATGATTCACCCTCAAGTCTACTACTAAGTACCTATTTATTTGAGCTTTATATTTTTATGCTATAGGTACAACATACAGGAAATAGAAACTGTCATGCTATAGTCCAATGTTTAAATACATTAATAGATTATATTTCATGTGGCCTTAGTTTAAAAAAAAAAGAAGCAGTTTGATGCCAACTTCGCTCATCAGGCTTGTAATTATTATTATGATTATTTGCCTGTCAAAGTCACAGAGAGAGAACAAAAAATGTCATCCAACACACATCCATCAAACAATGAGAGCCCTTCATGTGAAATCAGTTCTGGAGGATTTTGCTATTCAAAACACACAAGTACTGAGCTAACAGTAAAAAGTTCTGTTAGCGTGTCAAAGGATTTATTTAAATTGGAAATTTCTGCCATGAACCGAATAATAAAAACAAGCACAGCTTGTTGAGCTCAAACGACATCACTAACACTATAGTGTGTAGTGCAGGTATAACTTTGTTTTATAAAACATTCAAAAGTTTCTGATTTGAGACACAGCATAAGATAAAGGCTTATTTGCTCTGGTAAGAATTCTTAGGATTATGATGTTTTTTGTACTTTGGCCCAAATCAATGAGGAAGTTACCATCTTAAACCATCTTCAGACATGAACTCGGATTTTCACAACACAGCAGGAGATTATTTGAGTCAGATGCATTTCTACCACAGGAAAACCTTTATAGCATTCCAGTGAGTGTTCCAACACTGACGTAGGCCCTATTCCCCAAAAGCTCTCGAATATTCTTCTTCAGCATTTCCTGTCTACCACACCTCTTTTCTATCCTGAGATATAACTTCTTTATGTTTTTTTTCAGTTTTTTGCATGTGTTATGTGTTAGAAAGGTCCAATATGCCCACTCACTCACTGTATTCTCACAGCTTTAACTAGGGGGCCAGCAGAAAAACTCTGGAGAATTTGTCAAATAAACCCTTTCACAGTTCAGTGCATGTCAGAAAGAAGCATTAGTGGTAACGATAAAAAAAGAAGGTGGAAGAAAGACACCATCAAGTTGGTGTAGTACAATATCATTGAACTAGTGAGATCTAAATATATTAGGAATGCAACAGGTTTCAGCATTAGCCCTAATTATGGCAGCTAAATTACACTCCATCTCGGGTCAGTCTTTCTCCACAGAATTGTGTTCCTAATCACAATTTCTTCTTTCCTAATTAACTCGGCCTCATCCTGATCCCTCCTTTACATGGCAACATTTGGAGTTATTAACAATAGTGTGACAGGGATTTATATCCAAACAACTGGTCCACAGCTTCTACTATAAAACCTAGACAACTAAACCCAACTCAATAAATGTTGTAAGTACTTACAACATTTGGCTAAGGAGATTAAGAAAGAAAATATTTAAACTCAGGATGTACTTGAAAAAACTAAACTAAAACTGCACTAATCATAATCAGAGTAAATCTGTGCACACACACTCAAACACACCACGGAGCAGAGGTTTTAGCATAGCTTATTAACACCGCAATGATGCTTAGGCTCAGTAATAATTGAAATGATAAGATTAGTGATACTCTTTTAATCTATGCAGGCCAAAGTGCTACAGAACCTCATCACTACAGCTGCATCTTATTTAGACATTTCAGCAAGGAGGAGGTTTTAACTCTGGTTGCCATGCTGAAGAAGGTATGCTAATTTCCTTGGCCACCGTGCCACCCTCTGCACCCATCCTTTATAACAGATGAATATTGCAGTGCTTCTGCTGCTGTAACAGAAGCTGATGCAGGAGAAGCTGTGAGCCAGCAGTCTGCCCTCAGCTGAACTGTGTCCCATCAGTCAGGACTGCAGGAAGCTTTGGCCAGCATCTGTACCTGGGAACTCTGTTATCTCTGTTTCTGTCATAAATCCACTCTTAACACCCGAGTTATGCTTATCGGCACACTGGCACTCATGGTGGTGCATAAAACATTTTACATGAGGAAAAACAAAGGGAATGCACAGAGAGATGTTGTGATAGCATCAGAAATACCTTAGATACTGCTGAAAATGCCAAAACGGGCATTGGCAAGTATGTGTATCTATGTACCGATCCGATACCACATCTTGAAAGTATGTTAGTTTCATCACTTTTTTTCTGTCCCTCCGAAACAGCAGTTGCAAAGTAATGTTTTAAGAGTGAAGAAGAGGAACACTTCCTTTCTTGTGTAGTGTAGCATAAGCTAAAGCTAGCTAGAATGTAATTTGTTAATATTTTGGACTAAAAAGTCCCACAAGTAAAACACCACCATGTACCATATGCTAGACTTTTGGAGGAGTGGCACTAGTGTTGCCAGTTACAACACTAGCAATCTCATAAGAACCATCAGACGAAAGTGCACAAAGAGTTCACCAAGGGAAAGGGAAAATGTAATGTTTAAATGCAGGAATTGGATCAGAACTCAAGAATCGACTGATACACAAAGTCCAGGTAATAGAAATGGAAAAACTGTATCAGAACATCTCTAAATGCATCACCCAGCCTTGTCAAGGAAGAGTCTCAAAGATAAACAAGATGACAAGCCCCTAATATACTGTGACAGTAGGACACTCATTAAGTTAAAATCAG